ACCACCTCGCCTGGTATACAGGAGGTCGTGGGTTCGAACCCAACTCTCCCACCTGCTGTATTTTTGGAGTGTGCGTGTCTCTCTCTCATCATCATCACAGTGGCTAGGAGATGTAAACTACCTCGCCTGGTATACAGGAGGTCGTGGGTTTGATCCCGACCCTGACGCCTGCTGCTGTATATTTGGAGTGTGCGTGTCTCTCTCTCATCATCATCACAGCGGCTAGGATATGTTAACTACCTCGCCTGGTATACAGGAGGTCGTAGGTTTGATCCCGACCCTGACACCTGCTGCTGTATATTTAGAGTGTGCATGTTGTCCCCGTAATCGCGTGGATTTTTCTCCAGGTTCTCCGGTTTTTCGTTCCACATTTAGAAACATGCTTTGATCGTATTTGGCTGCTATAAATTTCCACATGATACGCCACTTCGTTGAGCGATCATTTGCTGCCAGGTCGCTTCTGAAAAATAGCTCTATGTGAGGCTTACCTGGTAAAATAAAAAAGTTTATAGTTTATTCAGGATCTTGCCCCATTATTTTAACTGCCAGTGCTGGGAGATGGAACCGGTGACCTCCGGATTGCAAGTCCAGTGTGGTAACAATTGCACCACGGCAACATCCCCCTTATATATGAACGAAACACGTTTAATGTTAATTTTCATGAACTGTGTCTGTTAATATTAACTTTTTTTGCGTATTCGTTCTGCTCGGTCCAGCCGCGCTTGGTATCTGCAGAGTTCATTCATTGCAGGCTGCTGGGCTTGCCAGAGGCGAGCAGCCCTTTACAACAGCGGAGAGAAGAAATTTATTTTTTCAAATTGTACGCTCGGCACCACTAAGCAAAAATGACAGAAGATGATTGGCTATCTACGTTGTGCTTCAGGGTGGAACGCCTCCTAATGGATATAAATGTAGCGCACCGTGTATACCTAACGCTCCTGTCCAATGTTCCCCTAATGCCATTTTTCACTAAGCATGCAATGTTATTCTCTCCCGCGAAACCGCTTGTTGAGATTTTTTTCGTAATCACCCATTTTCTTACTAATGCCAATCAATGTTAAAAGGCGCCACGGTGGCTATGAGATGTTAACCACTTCGCCTGGTATACAGGAGGTCGTGGGTTCGATCCCGACTGTGACGCCTGCTGCTGTATATTTGGAGTGTGCATGTTGTCCCCCTGGTCGCGGGGATTTTCTCCAGGTCCACCGGTTTTCCCCTCCACATTTAGAAACACGCGTTCGAGAGTATTTGGTTGCTATTATACATTTGCACGTGGTAAGCCACTTCGTTGAGCTATCATTTGTGACCAGGTCGCTTCTGAAAAAGAGCCATATAGCACAGTGGGTCTTACCTGGTAAAATAAAACATAGTTTTAGTTGATATAGTTTTAGTTCATAAAAAAAAATAGTCAAACACGCAAACACGGTCAGATGACACTATAGAGCGTCACCATATTTATTTTATTTAGTTTGTACATGTGTGGTGATCTTATCCATCCACTGGTCAATGAGGCTCTTCCAAATGCTGTTTGTGTCACAGGGGTTATTCAATCGTACTGCACCACACTTAACAGTGTGGGTTAGCTAAGGTAGGCGAGACTAGACTTGGGAGCATATATGCTGAATACAACAACGGAGCTTGCTACATTGCCCTCTGCTACCCATAACGTTGCCCCGTAGCAACCAATAGCACCTATAATTTCATGCTGTAATTGATTTGAGGGTAAAACACGCCCGCGATCCAGCACTGTGAAGCTTCATTCCCACGCGTGTCGGTGCCATACATCGACGTGGCAGGGAAATTACAGGACGGCAAAATGAGTAGGATAGAGTATTGTCCCCTCGCACGTGTGAACTTTGACCGGGCGCTCCCGATATCCTCCGATATGTAAAACACTCAATAATTGGCTGAAAACATCTTGGTATGTATAGAGGGCCGTAGAACTTGGGCAATTGTTGCTAGCACCGGCTCACGGCCTGACTGCTACCCTCTTGCTTGTATGTGGTTCCTCACACCTTTGAATGTTTCTGTCACTACGAGAATCATTGAATACTGTGAGTAGAAATTATATTAAAATTGGTATTAAGAAAGTGTGGAAACAGAAAATATGGGCGCTCTGCAGCTGTTGGCGGGTTGAAAAAAGTCAGAATATATTTTTCATTTGGGTTAAATTGATACATTTGATCACTTTTTTTAAAATAATTGTTTTAAGTACAGCAATAATAATGAAAAGTGAGGCAAGAGCACACTCGCTCTCGAAGCCTGCGCTACCAAGCACAGCCTCCAGCTTGCCGTAAAATAATATGCTTCATCTCTGGATGCAATAATCGTTTTAATAATACGGCGATAAATATTGAGGTGACAAGTGCACACTTTCTCACGCGCATTGCGCATGCAAGCACTCTGCTGCAGCTGCTGGCGGCCAGGGCGCGCAGCGTTCGTGTTTGTGATCGCTATCACTTGTTGGTCAGTCCATGCCGCACAATCGCTCCACAGCAGAGTGTATTCCCCATATATACTGAGGCCTTCCTCACATTTGACCTCCCCTCCCAACGGGGGCTGCTCCCAGACAAACAGAAGCGGCAATATCCAAGATGTCTCAGCTCATCGGCAAAGGCATACATAACATGGGTGGGCGCGGACGGGGTGGGGGGGGGTACCAAGGCTCCCCGCGGCTCCCGCCTTAAAGGGGAAAAGATTGCCTATCGATCCATAGCTAAATATTCAGCACGGAATTCTGGCAGGGCGATGGCGAGGCCTGAAGGGGAGCAGCAACCCCCACCACCACCACCACCCTTCTGGCAGGAGTGGGAAGGTTGTGTCTCATCCAGCAGTGGCGCTCGGCACAAGCAAAACCGAGCAGAAGCTTAGCGGCCCAAGCAGGCCAAGGAAATCCGGATTCAGGAAAAAAACAGGGGGCATCTCAAATTATAATCCTAATTACCACGAGAAGCTAAGTAGCATAAGAACTACATGAATTTATCTCATCTCTATCTGGTCTGCATCTCTCTTCTCTCGTCTGACTACGCCATCTCCAATTAACGTCGACAACTTATCATACGTCATTACATCTCAGGTCTTCATGTCTATGCATCTTCTGTCATCTCACGATGATTTTATTCGTTTGAAATGGGCCTCCCCCCAAATGGCGTGGAAAACACCATGCTCGCCCAATCAGGGCCAGGAACCGAGGTGGAGAGATGCTAACTACCTTGCCTGGTATACAGGAGGTCGTGGGTCAATCCCGACCCTGACGCCTGTATATTTGAAGTTTGCATGTTCTCCTCGTGATCGCGTGAATTTTATCCAGATCCTCCGAGTTTTCCCTCCACATTTAGAAACATGCCTTTAGAGCATCTGGCTGCTATACATTTTCACGTGATAAGCCACTTTATTGGGCTATCATTAGTGGCCAGGTCGCTTCTGAAAGCAAAAAAAAACCCAGCTGTATAGCTCAATGGGAATTACCTGGTCAAATAAAAAATTTTTTTAGTTTAGTTTTAGGTGCCGGGAGTCGGGGTGGCCGCAATCGGAGACCGCTCCCTATCGCCGCCTCGACTCCACCTGGCACCTGCGCGGGCCGGCCCAGGGGTTCCCCGCGACACGCGGCGGCAGGCCGAGCGCAGAGCGGTGGTGATGGAGGGTGCGACGCGACCGCGCTGACAGCTTTATACTTTCGGCTTTAAGCCGCTGATGTGTTATTAAATGTTCCTGCCAAAAGCTGTTTCTGTAAGAAAGTGAGCGAGCAGATAAAGTTGGCGCCGATTGTCTCTTGACTTTTGCCCATAACAGATCCGAGGCTTCTGATAAATGCAATCTGCGATTGTGGGTCTTCGTCTTTATTTATTTCATTCAAAGAATCGCACGGCCGAGGACAGTTTTAGGAGTGTGTTCATTCCAGTTCTTTATATTCTGATTGTGCGGCGGTAAATATAGAATCCAATGCTGATGCTATCGAACGGAATGAATTGTTATAACAATTCCGTGATGTATACCTTCACAGGGAGAGAAGTACTCAGCTGCCCAGTGAAGGCAAACGGCTCTCTGGGACTGCTGCTTGCGTTAGAGGAATTGAGACAGTGTTTAGGGAAAGAATCCAACATGGCCATCATATTAAATAGGTAATTAGACAAATCATGGACTCCAGATTAGCTTATGTTGCTCGTAATGTTGCTCGTAAGTTCTCCTTTCTCCAGAGAATGCACATAATTAAATAGATTTGCATAACATTTTAAACAGCCATCAGCATTTAATTAGCGTCCCACTGTAGAGTGCGCTTGCCGCTCTGCGCGAGGCGCCAGATCTACATTGTAAACTGCTAATTTACAACTGTTTCATTACCAGCTGCAGCGGCTCATTTAGACTTCATAACGCAACTAAATGGCAATTCATTGCGGTACACCGCTTGTTCATCAACGCCGCACAGCTGGGCTGAACAGCGCCCATCAGAACCATAAATATGCTTAGCGGAGGCGGCATCTCCTCCGATATTGTTCGGGGCAAAAAAAAGACGTCTCGGGACATAGTTACGGATGTCGTCGCGCCGGATCGGGGTTGCATCGGATGTTATCATCATCATTATTATTGTTGTTAAAACGGACGCACCGAATGCCGACTCCGATATTAATCGCTCGGCGTTCCCAACGCGGTTGATGCAGGGGGCTTGCATTGCTTTGTTTTTTCACCCCCCCCCCCACCAACCACCAACCTTCCTCATCCCCACAATGATTCGTTTTAAAATACGTTTTAAGGGAGAATTGCTTTTAAACTAAATCCATCTCTGAATTGAGGCCAGTGCCTTCCCATCACATTAAAATGCTGCGCCGGACGTTAAGCTTATTACGGCTTTATAGCGCTGATACGTCGCTGCCGAATTAATTTTCCGAACGGCCCCGATCATCGCTAAATACCTAGGGGACTAATCATAATCCGCTCTCTGCCCACGTGTGTTCGCCGGCAGCTGTGTGCTCCAATAAAACAAACAGCCGCTTTCACGCCGCAGCCGGCCCCGTGATGGCGAGCCTAATTGAAATATTGTTCGGGTGTCGCGCAGATTACATTAAGTGGCAGCCTAATAATTTGACAGGGGAGTAATAGAGATGTCCGGCACCGCGCACCCCCCCCCCCCTTCTCTTCCTCCTCCCCATGAATGCAAGAAATGAGGTGTGATCGCTAACAGCTGCTTTTATACCCCGACGGCCGTGCCGTCTGCCGCGAGGCGTCACGCGACGCGCCGTGCGAGATGATCCCAGCGCTCCTCCGAGAGCCCCCCCCCTCCATCCACACACACCCCCACCCCCCGTTTTCACTGCGAAACCTTCAGCCGTTTCCCTTACGCGAGCAGAGAAACATCATGCTTTGTCACGGAAAGAAATGTCACGTAAATTGGAATTGCGCGCAGCATCTAAGGGACGCTGCCCTGGTCTACAGCCGGTCAGTGCAGCCACTGGACTTTGCGATGTCCCAGAGGTCAGTCGCAGTTGAACCAGCGGTGCAAGATTCGGAAACCCCCCATACTGCGGCTGCGTAAATGGGTAACGAACCACACTCGGTCGATGGGCGGCAGGTCGCGTGTGGTGGGCAAAAGTGTCGGCACTTCCACCTCCACTTTTTTTTCAAGACGTCTGGCCAGCGTGCAAGGGCAGGCAAAAAATACCCCCGGGTGCAATGGCAGGAGCAAGTCACGTCGTGGTGATGTGCATCTTTACCTTTCACCGTCGACGGTGCCCTGGGTAAGCTGCGTAGCGATGGCGCCAAGCACGGGAAACGCGTTGAGTCGGTCGTGCACGACGCATCGCCGCGTTGAGCGAATTGTTACGCAGGCAAATGTCGTGTCAGAACGAGGCGTGGGTGCTCATTCGATTCAGCGTTAATGATGTTTTAAACTACGTTTGTAGTTCACGGACTGTTATCCAATTGAGCGACAACTCTCTGTTGATCCACCGCACATGGTAAATCCACTGCTGGATGAAGGCCTCCACAAGCCTTGGCGGATATGAGAGTTGTTTAATCATACTTCAACATATATGATAAACATAATCACATATAGACCAACATGTTTATCTACTCCTCCTTTGAAGAAGATTAAATATTCACATACATTGCTTGAAATGGAAAGTGTTGTGCATTCATCGATTTGTGAGCTTCCACGAAAAATCATGAGTGTAAGCATCCATTTGGAAAATTATATAATTTGTCATTTAACAATTTAAACATTTTTTGCGGTGAGATTATGTTTTATCGCGTGCACTAATACACGATTCACTTATTTACGTTTGCAAATGGGCCCGTCAATAGTTGTTTTTCTTCAGTACTTTGTGTCATTTCATACTCTTAATCAAGTTATGAATGGTATTGCCGTAGCCATTTGTTATTATTGCCGTTGTCATTCCCCTTAATCACGATAATGAATCGAGCGAAATTAAAACTGCGGCTTATTGGCGAAACAGCACCGAGCGGAGCTACACCGCCGGACGATTTCACGGTGCGCTCCCACTTGACACAACCATCTGCGGGAGCGGCCGTTGTTTTAACTCCCGTAAAGAAAATAACGCAGAAAATTGTGGACAAAGTAAGCGAACGGAGCAGCGGCGACCTCGCGGCATACAGATGAGCTCGCCGGGTTGGCGGCAGAAAAAGGGCCCTTTGTGCGTGCCGGGGCGGACCATGGCTGGCGTTAAACATTTACCCACACATCTCGGAGGCCCCAATCTGCATTTTTATTATTGCGGCCAAACAAAGGGCCCTTGCTCGGAGTGATGTACAGGCTGTACATTTCTATTTCATTTTCAGAGCCCGTCCGAAGGGGCCCCCTGATGGGGCGAGAGGGACTCGACCAGGCCACTATTTTGTACGGGGGCATTCAGTGAAATTGATGGCTTACCATTCGCGTCGGCTGTACCGCGAGCGTTCGTTAAAATATATCTCTTAGTATGTTCTTCTTCTTGGTTCTTTCGGTAAAGTCACGTAGATGGGAAATAATAAAACAATAAAAATAAAACATAATAAAATTATCACGACGTTTCGGCCACAACAAAAGCAGCCTCTTAGTATGTGTTTGTGAGTGTCAATTTATTTTCAGAGGCTCTTGTGCGCACGGTTTAGAACTCATTCTCAACTTGCGGCACAATCGCGCACAAGTATTGCACAGAGGCTAAAGCTGAGCGTAGACGGTGAACTTGGCTTCACAATTGTGCGGCTCGAGTGGCTGTAGTTGTATAATTGTTTGTGTGCGTGCGGTCAGAAATCGTTTGAAAATGTAGTCGAAGAACAGGAGCTTGAATCTTGCGGTAATTAAACGAGACAGAAATGTATCTACAAATCTCTGGTTGAACTTCCGCCCCTGATCCCGTGCCCTTTCGTTAACTGCCGCCACGACAACAATCCCCCAGGCAGCCCGGCCGCTCCTTAGCGACCCAATAGGGTCTTCAGATCAAATGTGCCCATCAATCAGAGTAAACTCAAGTCCTTCTCTCCACATACCTTTCAATGCTTTACCTGGCTCTTCACTTCCCCACTCAAATTGAACCAGCTTGCTTTTCCCACTCCCCCCCCGGCACGCCAATCAGCAGCCCCAACTTAAAATATTGCTGCAAACTTTCACCGTGCCACCATACTCCTTTGGCCTGCTAAGGGCCTAATGTTATAAATTGGCAAAGCAGCCAAGGATCAAACAGGTCAGACTCGAGCGATAGGGCTGAAGAGGCAGTGGCCTGCTGTGGGTCACTTGGCATCGTGGCTCTCGTGTTTCCTGTGCAGACTGTCACCGGCAATGCAAGATCAGATGCTCGGCAGATAAGGGATGTTGATAAATATATAGTTTTAGGAAGCGATAAACAAAACGTCAACTTCGAAGGTGAAAGATACGCCGGGAAATGACCCCACAAGTGCAACTGCTAGAAATATTATGGCAATTCTGGTTACTTATTTTATTTATTGGTGGAAGGTAGTGGGGGTAAATGCGTATGCGGTTTTAAAGGCTCATTAAAGAAACAATTTCGTCGTCATCTTCAATTACGATGGTACCTATTGGTCGAATTTATTTGTGATTTTTTTTTTAAACAAAAAGCTTTCTTGTTTGATATGAAATGCTTTTAAATGATGAATTTATTGGTCTTTAATGTTTTTTTCCTTTCCTCTCAGCTCACGGCATTCTTAGAATAAGTTGGATACATTTCATTCGCCCAGGCAATCTGTCCGCCTTGTAAAATGGCACCGCTCTTCCTAAATGTAAAAAAAAGAGAAGGACAGAAATCAGAGCGCGCTATGCGCACACATCGCGTGATTTATTATTCTGAAATTTATCACTGCCCATTTGCGCATTACCTGATGTACGCTAATGTAGTTTGCACAGGATGCTTTATGGCCTTACTGCGCCAGATATATATTCACGGAGCAATAAATCTAGTCTTCCTATGTCGACTGAAAAATGCTACAGCCGTGACTCTTTGTAAAACTTCTGTCTCCTAAATCCTGCTACTTTTCCCAGCAGCATTTTGACTATTTTTATGGGATCATGTATACTATTATGTATACCAGGAAAATGTCACAGACACCATACATTGAAGTTTAACGAAACAGCTGAGCTTATGTCCAGTCGTAAAATGGGCTGCAACTCCAGAAAGTGTTAACGGTTCCACGGGTCCTAACTGCCCTTTGTTGCCCTGTGGCTTGAAAAAAAAACTTTTGATAGGTTTGCGAACGCAATGGAATCTTATTTGGATGCAGCAAGCAGCAGTGGATTCTGTTTAACTGTCGCCACTTTGTGGTTCAGAATTTATTTTCTCACCCGTCACTGTTGAATCTCACAATCACCAAGAATTTAAAATTTAATTTAAACAGTGTGCTTAGTTGAGCAATCATCAACATAATCAGTTTGATTTCATGCTAAATGGCCACGCTTTGATGGCGTAATATTTAGCGGTAACTTTTTTTTTTTACCCCACAAAATCAGGGAAGAGAGTGACTTCCATTACTCTGCTCTGACCCATAATCACCACCGTTATTATAAACCGTTGGTAGCTGGTGCAATTTAGTCCGTAATAGCACGGAGGCATTTTGTTGGAATAATTTACAGGGACAGGGATCAGAGGTGTGCAATGTTTGGACAATACGTTAACGCCGATGGCTCTGGTGTGCCCAGCCGTGGAAGGTAAGCGGATATGCTCTGATTTAGATCATGACAACAGGGACAGCCCTATCAATTTGTTACTATGCGGAAGCTGCCAAACCGCTCACAACACGCTGCCTTATGCATTAAACATGCGGACGGCCGGCGAGGATAGTGGTTAGCGTGCTCGTCGCTGGGCCAGTTTGCTCAAGGCCCCACTGTTTTGAGTACATAAGTCGCTTAGCATTGGGAGTGGGGGATTATTTGGTTGGGCTTCAAATATATTGCTGCATGTCTTCCAAGAGTACCGCGTTATTCGCTATGCTATGGCAAGGTTGCGAGATTGAAATCCCGTTTTGGGGGGGGGGGGGCAGTCGACTCGACCCATCATCCATCCGTGGTTGGTAAAGTAGATACCACTTTGTGTGGAAAGTCATGAGCGATCATCGTAACAGATAGATTGGCAACCGAAATCGATGGGAATGTGAAATTTCCATCGCCGGCTCATGGCCACCCCACCGGCAGATGCAAACACCGCGACGGCGCTCGTTTTAGCGTTCGAACGCATTAACTTGCCATGGCAAATTGACACCGAGGGTGTCCCTTTGCGAAAACTGATCTACAGCTACTGAAATTAATGGACTTCCGTTTGGTTATAAATAAATGAAGAGCCATTTGCCCATTCACTGCTGGATGGAGGCCTCTGCACGACACGTCGGCCACGGGGGATTGTTTTGCTGGACAACATTGCCGTGTTGGTCAGTGTGGGTGAAGGTGGTGGGGGTGGGGGGAGAATCCAAGGCTGGCTCAGATGCCACTTTTGTTATCCGTGGCCAGAAGTCTCACTTAGGTTGCTGGTTTCAGAGTGTAGGACACTAAGCACCGTGTCACCGATCCACCGGGTTTCCAATGAAGGATATTTAATTGAGATGTCATCAAGCGCTACGATTTAAACTGGCTAATCACATTCCGCACAAGCCAGCCTTTAATGTGACGTCTGATTTCAATTATTTTTACACATTTGGTATATATACTTATATGTGTTTTGCAAAGTGCACGTTCCCATTTCTCCCCCCCCATTAATGAGACGCTGAGAGTCGAAGCAACGTGTCAAAATTTTATTTTCTGTGAGACATTAAATTACATGAATTTTGATAGCCAAACTAAGGCTTTGAGAAACATCTACTCAAAAGTCCAACAGACACAGGTGTGTGTTTTGTCTGTACCTGCGATTTAACAAAATTGATGCATTGGTGGTGCTCCACATTACGGCTGTGAAAATTATCGTCGGACGTGTGAGGCCACACGTTTCCTTGTTCTTTTCACTTACAAACTTTTTGACTGCCCTACACATTGCAATAAATTATTAGGGTACCCAAATGAATGCTTTTTTTATCCTGGTTTCAATTTGTGGACATGGGGGACATGTAATTCGATTTATAAAGCGTTACATCGTCCCCCTGGGGTATACCTACGGCGCTATGAACCTGTTGACCCCCGAGTTCTATTTCCGGGCGCAGGGAAAACGAGTGGCGTGTGATATCACAACCGGTCCTGGGTATCTCTTCACCAACCACCAAGCCACACCGACCGGCATGGTGAAGTACAGTCAAATGCCAAAGCAAACCCCCATGACCGACACAGAATGGGCAAAGCTTCATCCACCAGTGGATTGATAAATGACCGTCTCTTCTACAATTACCAGATGAAGTGCTCCAATGTATTTTTTTCTCGAGGCGTACCCTGCATTGTTTGGCATGACGTTTTGCGCTCCCTTCCACCGCGACACACTCAAAGCACGTGGAGCTGAAACGTCGGGCGTCACGCCGATCAACACGCGGCACAACCCTTGCAGCAACGACCGCAAAAAAAAAAACTTGCACGGTAAGCATCGGCCCTTCGAAGTTTCTGCTGGGGTGCCGTGACGCCGGCGCGGCGATGATGATGATGATGGGGCGGCATGGCTCTGGCCCTGCGACAATTGCCGGAGCCCTGCGGAGTCTGCGGGGTTTTTTTTCTCTACGGAGAACGCCACTGGGCCACTCGCAGGGAGGGGAGAGCGATCAGATGCTGCGGAAGAGCGCACGGCGAGAGTGATTGCTCGAGTGATTTACTGCCGCATTTGTAAAAATCGTTTCTCACATTCGCAAAAAAGGAAAATGCCCCGTAGCTGAACATAACTCTTTTTATTCCGTTGGAATTTTTTTTTAACGTCGTTCATTCGAAGTTCTAGTAGAGCCAGTTTTTATTGTTGTTGTTATGAGAAAATACTTAAAGTGAAAGTGTTAATATGCTGATTTTTTTTATTCGCACCTCCTATTAGCACGGTTGGCTACGTACGGCGCGAAAGAAGTTCAACACATACGTATTGTGACTTTTCAAACGTTACACAATGATGTGTAGCATGTAATTATGCAGTGCAGTTATCACACCGTACGAAATTATAAACCACAATTTATAGTGCGATTTGCATTTAAATGTAATTGCTCAGGTAGTTTAATTTAAAGTACCTTCATGATTGAATGTTGCATCAGCATTTAAAAAGTGAAAGAAACACACACGCACACACTTCACCGCTGAACCCATTGTATGCATGTCTTTATAAACTGTCTTAGTTTTGTTGCATGCGATGTTGGTAAGGACGATGATGTCTCGCTCTGGTATGGCGTTAACTTCCAGAGATATTCTGTCCTGCCAACATAGGTGTAAGTTTAGTTTGAGAGCAGGTTTTTTTTTTGGGGGGGGGGGGGTCTTGCTTACTGTCTTGAGCACAAAACTAACTCTGTCCATACATCATTAGCTTCTACTGTAAATGAGCTAAAGTATCTAAGTGAATGAGATAATGTACATCTAGAGATAATTGGATTCATTAAAGTGTAATAACCACTTTGTATGCAATACAAGTATAATTGGAACACATTACTCACAAGCGCAGAGTAACACTGACTGATGAATAATTTAATCAGAGCTAATTGAATTTTTCATAATATTAAATTTAATTAGATAGTATACTGCAAATTACAATTCTTTGTGGATTCCCTGACCTCGAATGTATTAGCATCATTTTATAGCTCGCTAATTTGGGACAGATATTATTAATGACTTGGAGGCATTTAAATCAATCAGCAGTGTGCCAGGAGGCATATTGCACACCAATAATAACATTAAAGTATATTGGAATCTGCATTGTACTTATCTGGCAATCGTTTTTGTTTTTACTAGGGCATTTACCCATAATTGGACATTCCCTACCAAGTTTTCATTATGCTGTTTAATCTCCTGACGGATATCGCTCAGAGTGCCCGCGTCAAGAAATTATCTTTCGTGCAGATGTTCTTGGCCTCCCTCGCAAAAATGAAACGCGCCCGTCATTACGCCGAACGGAGTGCTCGCATTCCTCAGCGTGTGTGACAGGAACGCAGTTTGCTGTTCTCAGGACGAAAAGGCGACGAAGTAGATTTCTCTCCGCTCTGCTTGGCGATAGAACAGAGGGATGTGTGTCGTTGCAAACAAGCCACGGATACTATGAGACTCGAACGATGATCTATTGTTGTCCCAGGACAATAAAACATATTAAAGCGCTTAAGTTGCGAGGCAGCACGGTTTTGTTTGGTTGGGATGTGCCGTAAGTCCCGGCGTGTTTTACCAAAGGGAATGAAACGGCGACACAATGGTGATGCTACGATCACTTCACATTGTATTTACTTGTACCGGTTATATATTTTTTTTTATCGCAGGACTAGACTTGTATGCATCGCAGGGTGGTAGTTCATTGTTATGTGTGGTCCTTCGCTAACTGTACCGTGTTCAATTATTAGGACCTTTTATAAAAACACACCCGCAAACCTTTTTCGTAACACATAATCATAGCGCTAAATCATGGCCGATGAGTTATACAATTGCAACGAGGTGCATGTATGCATAAAGACAGTGTGCGTGCGTCTATACAAATCGTGCTACTCTTGACTCTGTCATGTGGCTTTATTAAAATGTGTGCAGCAGATGTGCAAAAACATGACCTGGCATTACGCTTTCAGTTTGCTGTGCAAAGAGTTGCCATGAATAAGTATATTCAATGCAGTCTCCCGTGCACATGCACACTTATTACTTCCACCAGCTTCTTACAATCGTGTTCCATACATTCCTCTGCATGTGGATGGACTTTATGGCTTCATTACTCTATATTTCCGTATCATCGCAGTCGGCGTTGCCTTTGTGACCGAGAGGTCGGTTTGAGACATTCGGTCACCCCAAATCGGTGACACTCTCGTGTCTTTACGCGTAGCACGGACGTCTGCAAGTCGCCGGTGATCTTCACCCCCAATGTGCGCTTTCGCAGGAGGCACCCAACGGAATCCGTCTGGCCGAGCCAGACACTATCACCTGATGGCTTTTCCAAACTCGGCATATACAGGGCGATCCATTTAACGTTGCCCGACTGAATTTCTAATGATCCCCCGCTTCCATCTCAACAGGTGATTGAACACTATATTGTGCAATCGTCTGGCACCATATCTTACAGAAGGAGAGTGTTAAAAGATTTAATACGTGTGTCGAGATAGGTAGGAGACATGAAGAGGCTTTGAAACAAAATGTTGTTTCCTGTATAATTTATATCCATTGCTTTGGTGGGGTATATACAAGTATACATGGATCACCCTGTATAGTTATCGGTTTACATTTAGGTAATATTTAGGTGTATTTTGACACAGGTGAAACCCATTGGGCAATAATTGCCAATATTCAATGGAGACCTGTTTAAACCATAGACAGCTGGTTCCAGCAACAACAACAAATCGTCTTTGACTTTTAAAAATTCCTTACGAAAGAGGAGTTTTTCCCCCCATGTGTTATGGTTAGTGTGTGTATGCAGAGCACAGCACGCAAAGAAGAATCGAATGAAGAATGGGGGACGGTTCTTGTTTTCCCATCGCGTGGGTTCCTGTCGGAGAAGCAGAGGTCTCTGCGGATGACAGTGACACCTTGAAGCCCCGTGTCAACGCTAAGCGCACTCCAGGGCCAGGTGAGGCTGGGGGAGCACAAGGGGACGGTGGGTGGATGGGTGGATTGGTGGGTGGGTGGATTGGTGGGTGGATGGATGGGTGGGTGGATGTATTGGTGGGTGGGTGGATGGATTGGTGGGTGGGTGGATGGATTGGTGGGTGGGTGGATTGGTGGGTGGATGCATCTTCATCCCACAAGTGGGGTAAGATGTGGTGATGATCAGGGATTAATTTTACACTCAATGTTTTCCAGAACGCTGCTAGGCTTGCCTTGGAATAGGGATTATATTATCAGCGTAAGGCATTACCACTAGATTTCAAGGTACACCTATCTGTAACAATCTTAGCACTGTCTTTAAGCACATTTGATAACCCTAAGACATGTTAACGCACGTTTTTCAGACCACCACTGCAGACAACACACAGACACACACACACCACAGAGACACACACCACCATACACACCATCACCGCAGACACCACACACACCACCGTAGTGTCATGAGGACAAAATAATGGATGTGGCGTGCCAAAATACATCTTCAGAACATCGTTCTGTATTGTTCCGGCTGAAATTAAGCACTGCCTGGCATTCAGTGGTGGTGCTGCCTGCATTGGGAGCCCGAAGCGGAACAACTATTTGGGGGCCCCCTTTTCAATTTACAAACCCCGAGTTAGGTCACTGAAGAGATGTACAGGAGAGCTAGAGGTGTGGTGGGGTAGGAAAATTGTAAACACAAATCGAGATGTAAGGAGAGATGCAGACAACATTGAGAAGAGTATCATCATTTAAATTATCCATAATAAAGTTTTTTTGGGTTAGGTCGCGTCAATATATTAATGCGTCGTTAAAACCCGCCACCACCCGACACAGCCAACTAGCATACCAATTCGTCACAATGCCAATTGGTGACGAATTGGCATGCTCTGTTTACGTTTCAACCCTTACTAGTTGGCTGTGTCGGGTGGTGTCGGGTTTAACGACACATTTATATATTTACGCGACCTAACCAAAAAAACCCTCTATTATGGATGATATTGGTCGCGAAAGCCTACGTGTTAAATAATTTCACTTAGCTTGTTTGTTGATTGGAATTACAATTTGAGATGATAACGCATACCTGTCAACCCCTTATCAGTGCCCTACCTTATTACAGTACCAATTCAGACCTTATTGGTCACCCCGTTCCCTTATACATTTCAACGTTCATCCTACAAAGTCCCATCACAACGGGGGAAACACAAACGGACACGTATTTGTTGCCCCTATTGAAACGGCTGTACGCCGTATGGACCTCAAAAACTCAATTTCCCTGTACAAGAATGCGGGGCACATCGTGTGGGTTTACAGCCATCATATTGATACACCTACATATTTGTTTGTGATTCGCGGCGCACCCCTAACTGCTTGGGGCGCCAATCTTTTGCTTGGTTCGCTTCTGCCGATCGCCCGCCGCCCCTGCAGGGGGGGCGGGGGGGAGGCGTCTGTCGGATATTCTCCCCGCTCGCCCACGGGCCGATCGGAGACGGAGGGGAGCTTTAAAAGCCTCGTGTGGGGAGCCTGATCCCTCGCCTGGTAATTAATTAAAGCTCGCGTTTAACTTAATCAATCGAGCTCAACAATGAGTATTAGGGCATATTTGAAGCCATCGCCGATCACCACCCGTCAAAACAGTGCGCCGAGACTCACAGCAGGGATCATTGCGCTTGTTCTACCTTCGTCGAAGAAATTGTACACGACCAAACATTGTTCTTTTTCGAGCCGCTCTCGTGTCGCCACAATCCCCCTTTGCAATGAGCTTTGTGCTGCGCGTAATGAGAGGCGAGCGCGTGTCCTCAGCGTGGCGTGCTTGAACTTTCCGTGGCGTGCTTGTATTCGGCGTGCCTGCTCCTTCACTAGCTGCCTTTCTTTAAAAAAATAAACTACTAACAGTGGCTTTAATAATATCAGCAGCAACAACAACAACAACGCCTACCTCCGATTTGTACAAGAATGCCCTGGCTGGCGGTGTCACGTGATTGCACTTACTGTCGGGAGTCAACAGAGTGCAGCCTGCGCAAAGTGACCGCGCGATGCCCCAGCGTGCCACTCGTGTGCGTTGACACGCACTCCATGCGGAGCATGGCCACGACACCACCACCAACCCCCGGGCTTCCTGGCAACAAAAAAAAAATTGGAGCGCGTTCGACAGCTCGGCTTGTTAAGTATATGCGCAAAGCGAAAAAAAAATCCCGCTCAAAAAAATATTTTTCCAAATGGGACGTTTAACAATGGATTTCATTGAATGTGGCAAGGCTGCAAAATATTTTTGCTTTGATACCTAAGCTTATTTTGAGAACTCGAGTGCCTTTCATGAATTATGCCTTGTTTTGTTTTTATATTTTGCTTCGAGTTAAAGACCCGCGTTGTAGATTTGTCACGCTGCCTACAAACACCCCTTACAGACAAATATCGGACAGGCAATCCGTACGCACCACGACGAACGTTAAATTAAAGCACTTTAGTAATAGCGCACGCGGCTCATCGGTCGTTCCTGGAGGCAATAGCATATACAATAAAGTGATTAAGGCATATGAATGATACTCGGTAAGACTCTGTGGGGTTGGGTGGGGGCGTGGGGGTTGTGGAGGGGTGGGGGTAGCCGTGCATAGTGGGGGGCAGCCGGGAGGGGCTGCAGGGTGGCCTGGGCAGCAGCTGAAAAATTATCTGGCAGAGTTCATGACCCCCAGTGCCTGGCGATCGCTGGAAATCTAATGCCGCCTTATTGTGCAAAAAAGAGCCAGTGGTCATGGCTGTCGCGCGACACACCGCTGGGCGACAAGTGTGCACGGGTGGGGGGGAGGGCACTGTTGAACCACCGGGAGTGTGACATCTGACCCGGGATTTTGGCAGACTTTATTTGGCCCCAGCAGGATAAGGCCGCATTAAGGTGGCGAACATTAGCTCCGCCGCGCGGCCGGGGTCAGGCCCGTCGCCTCTTTCACAAGCAAGCAATTGAGAGTGCGCAGTCAATGCAAATCTGATTGGCATTAGTCAGGGTCCGACTCCGAGTTATCGTCGTTCTAATTATTCTCTGTGTTCGTACCCATGCGTTTGAGCCTTAATTTCTGTACATGCAATAGTCTTAAATCTGATTGATTAAAAAAAACACGAATTACCTCTACGCTGTTTCATATTTAAACTGTTAGTAACAAATATAATGCGTCGAGAATTAGTTTTAATTTATGTATTTATTTTCAGCCGCTTGCCAACTCCACTGCTCGATGAAAGCATCCTCATGCCTTTGAGTGCGAGACATCTTTCACTGCGTTACACCGCACGGATCATGGTGGATCGGTGTAGGGAGGGCCCAGGGACTCGCTCAGATATCCACTTGTCATTGATGCGAGCTGTGGCCGGGAATCTAATCCAGGTTTCCAAGTTAATAGTGCAGTGCACTAACCACTTTGTGTATATATACACATATAATACTATTAAGCATCTCTATTAAAATATTTTATATTCATCAGCAAGCAAATGTTTAAATGCGATATTTTAATGGTTGATTCATGTTTAAGTTTAAACTTAAGGAATGCATGTTATATGTCATATTTAATATTCATAATCGGGGAAATATTTATGGATGTTCAACAGAAATGTCAATTAATTTATTGTCTTTAAATGGCAGCATACATTGGTTCATTGTTCAATTAACCTGCTATTCATTGTGCGAGTTAACTTATACACAACTCCGTAGCTGAAAACGTTCCCTCTTGGCGGTAATATTTAACGTATTAAGCGTACATTGTTGTTGCTGCTGCTATAATAATCATTACACAACGCATTATTGCGAACACTACAGTGGGCCGACGTTTAAAATTGTCTGCATTTCATTAGCGGAATCGGCCTGCAGGTAAGCCGCACGACACAAAAAAACTCATCTCAGTGGTCATTTGCCTGTGCCTCTGTTTGTGTAGCGATACAATGAGTCGCCTATGTCGATCCACTTTGGGAAAAAAAAGATATCCCGTCTCAGAAGTTTGTTTCAATGCATTCCATCCAGCCTGCTCTCATCCCCTGTGACCCCTGAGTATTTATTTAAACTCGGTTGCTCAGTGCAGACAGGGCCCGAGACTAATAATCCCGCTTCTTCCCAATAACCGTTGTATTGAGATGCTCACAAAGGCGGTGTATTTTGTATCGTAATGCCTCATTGAGGGGCACAAAACCCCGTGCTTCAAACACTGGCCTACGAAATTCTCTCTGTATCATACAGCAACGGGGTTCTTATCTGGTTACAATAACAACCTTATTGTGGGTTGGATGGACGCATGGGAAAAGCTCTTTTGCCATTTAAATGTTTTTTCGTGCGAGAGGCTTAACAAGGGCACATTATCACGCTGGGACTTGTCATTTATATCTCGTGTATCACAATTTTCCATAATTTGTGTCTATAATTTACGTTTCAGCACTCATCGTTTTATTATTTTGCCGTGCGCATTTGTAACTGTATACCGCAAGCGTCAGATTCCATGACGTTGGCGTTTCTTGTTTAAATTATGGTTCGTGTGCGTGCGTGTGTGTATACGCTCACTCTGAACGGCACACTTTACTTACGCCACCTTAGCATGAGCCGGCTTTTCGCGTACATTCAGTTCCAGTACAAACAATTTTACTGACGAAAACACATCTCCGACATGGAATAAAGCTTGGTAACTTTTGTAGCATGTTTAAAGACAAAGACAAATATCCCCCATATAGCCTTAACAGACTGTAGGGGCAAGTGCTGTTAGCGAGCACCTATGAAGGCCGACAGGGCACACGAGGGGGTGGGTCGCCAGCACCACGCCCGACCGCCTTTGTCTCCCCAATGGCGATGTTTAGACACCGCACCAGGTACTCATTTGAGGCTGAATCGACCAAGGGGAGGCCCAGGACCGGTTCAGATAATCGTCACTGGTGTTGGCCGTGAGAGGGCATCGAACCCGGGTCGCCGGGTTTGTAGCGCAGCATATACACACACAACACATATGTGTCAAAATCATTTATAGAAACAGGCATCGTGCAATGAAAGCACATATATGTATAAAGGACTAACAGATGGGACAGGAACGATCGAATAATTCCAACTTCCTAACTTCTCCTGCAGCTGAATAAACACACTTTATGCGAGGCTGTTTTATGCAGAGTTGAAATGGCATTGAATGGCTGCTCGGATGGTAATACATTCCTTTGTTCGCAGCCGTGTCACTCATAGTCTGCACCACACGGGCAGGAAGGAAACACGGCGATAGGGGCAGAGGAATGGCGTTGGAAGGCGTCGGAGCAACACCGTTCAGCTCTGCATTACCGGTCTCGTTAAACGGACAGGTTATAATCTCGAAGCGTGCGCTGTGTCATCAGCAAGAGCTCGTGCTGAAATTACAATTCTCCGAGTAGTTTTACCACTCGCCGTCGCCGCCCGCGTCTGGAGTTTGCGTCGATAGCGATAGCGATCATAAACTTTGTGTCGCCTTTTCGCTCGCGATTTACATTCATCCATCGCATCGCACGATTTATATATCCATTCGAGCAAGGCATAGAGGGCAGGTAACGCAGCCAAAACAGCTAAAAAGCAAAAGACATAAACCACTCCTTGAGCGTCATTAGGTCTCGTGGGCGAGGGCCATACATAAGCTCTGTGATGATGACAAGTCGAGCGCGAGAAGGATGTTTTTCTTGTCCAGCAGCCTCATTGGAAGGGGCAACTCGAAAGGCACCTGAGTCACCGTGGCCTTAGGATTACAGTGACGCCAATGTCGTCACTTCTCCGCACTGTTCGCCCCGCTTTGTTTCTCTGCCCCATGTCAACCCTAACCAGCACCTTTAAGCTATCACACTTTTTTTGTTTGTTAAACCCTATCTTGCTTTTTAACGCTTTCCAACTCAGCGTTAAGGTGTGCATGCATTTATCTCTGTCCGTCTGTCAATCCGTAATGGGGTAAGGGGGATGATGGGGCACGATAATTATTCTTGTAAAATTATTTAATCTGAACAAATCTCTCCTAAGAGGTGGTGTTGCTGTCAGGAACGTAGCCTGTTGAAAACTGGCCACATCGATGTCAAGGGTTGCCCACGACTTGAAGGCACAAAAACCCTGACAGCTTACTCATCAGCTTCCATCCGGCTAAAATTCAAAACTTCCGAAGGCAAAACGCATGTCGAAAAGTGTAACATAATCCCTGCATAGGCATCATTTTTTTCAAAACTTGTTTTCATTGGCTCCGCTAAGTTATTTTATCCAATAATACACATTATTGATTTTCACCAACATTTATTTTTAGCACCCTTTGATTAGATTTCCCATTTTACGAGTGGCTCAATTTTTATGTAAATGTTCAGCGGTGGCTGCCCCCGTGCGAATAAATTAAAAAAGACGACTAAACGGGCTCGTGCTTTTGTGAGAAACCAAAAAAAGGCAAATTGAATACTGTAGCTACTTTATTTTACGCTCCATATAGTAAACCACTGTAACCCGCACTTCCTTTAGCGGGAGGAATATCAAAACGACACGAACTCTAACTCCTGAAGCCGTCTCGTCATTTGGCATTTAGCTCCAGAACAACTTTGCCGTCCGCAAGGACGGAATAGAAGGCATTGATATTTTACCAGCAGGATTTCTCGCAAAAATTGGCGGCTTGCTTCGGGAGGCTGAAAAAAAACCCTCAACTGACAGCTCATTGTCAACCTACTGCCGAGTGAATGCCTCCCCCATGCCGTGCCAATCACGGTGGTTGTTTGACCATGCTTCAACCATGTCAATCAGTGCGGGTTGTTGTATTGGGACCGGTTCAGATATCACCGCGCGACTGATGTTAACCGTGCCTGGGAATTGAGCTCAGATCGCCGGTTTCATGACGGAGCAGCAGTGCTCGCTCACGGTGCTACCACTCTACTCCACTAGAAGGCTACCAATGGATTTATTTTCACAATTGACGTACCATATTCTAAATATAGCCGTCGATAAAAATACGAAAGCATGGCATGCACGTTGAGTGTCGTCATCATCAGCCATGATTAATCCACTGCTGGATGGAGGCCAAGCTGTCACCATCTCGCACCAATGCTGCAATGTAACGATCCACGTGTATCCGCACACGGGCTATTTTCACCACTCCATCTCGACTGTGGATGTCCTCTTGGTTGCATTTTCTCCTGTGGCTGCCATTCCATTACCAGCCTTGTTCATCAGCCATCTATTTCAGATTTTTAGATCATCCCCATTGTGGTACAAATGTAAAATGTCTTCGAACTAACAATAGTGATTTCACATGACACCACTTTTGGCTGGAAAATCCTGGAAGCGACGTAATATAGGGATGTCACTTCCTATTTTCAGATTAATCCGAAACAAAACGACATTTATTTTTCGGAACACGAAGAATGTATTATCTAGGCCTAAGGAACACATCAATAAAGAAGCACATGAAGGCCATTCCTAATCTTGTGGTGGTGATGTTGATGACGATGGTGACGGTGTGTGTTGCTCACAGCCTGGTGAACACTTCATCACGGGCGACGGCGCGGCGGGGCAACGCGACCAAAACTTTGCTCGATGGTCAAGAAAGCGACGAAACCTCCTCCGTACTTATCCCACCCAACGAGTCGAGCGGTCAAACGCACTCATTGGCAATTAGTCAGCCTCACAATCTCCTGCATAGAGCAACCATGAAAAGGGGGTCTGGGAGATCCATTAAAAGCGGCCAAAGAGCAGCTACAATTTATGGAGAATAACATTCCATCCCTATTGTGAGCGCGCCTGCGGCTGGGTATGTACGTCATTTTCGGGCTTCTGGGGAGCTGAAAGGGCCTCAAAGATTGAAACTACACGTTAGCATAAAAATGCAGTCGAGTTTTAACGCGTTTCAAAATCGTACAAAAGGACAGCGCTGGCCTTTTGTGGAAGAACCCTTCACAAAGAGGAGTAAGTTTGAGGAGTACGCAGAAGAGTTCAAAATAACAAGAGTTATAGCAGCAATGGGCTTTGGCAAACAGGTAAATGTTAAGTCTCTATTTAAATAACCCGTGTTGATTCAAAGTCTGCTGATGGGAGAAAAAAAAATCACAGCAGGATGTGTGGATTGTACTTTTGAAAAGAAATACCAAATTGACGCCCTTACCCGGATCAGAGTGGATGATATCCATTTTAATTCATAAAAATGTAAGCCACTTAGCATCACGCTGTGTGTATTTTAATAGGCTAAGTGCATCGATTTCCATTGTCATTTGTAATCGGCAACGTGTTACGATATTGCACTGTTGCCGAGTTAATACGCAGAAATAGCAAAGTCATTGCCATCGTGCTGTGTTTGCAGTCCAGCCATGCTTGGCCTGAAACGCTGATTGAGCTATATTTTCGCAATAAAAAATGAGGTATTCAATTATTTAAATATTGACTCTGTGTAATGGCATCTGACTGTGAGTATTAAAAGATGTCAGGAGGTTAACAGAGCACATAATAGGCACTGTATGTAAAGCTGACTCGACGGTAGACCCATTAATAAAATTAATGACAGAACACGCTCACGTGCTGGTAAGAGCTGGAATCTACAGCTCTTATTAACCTGCTGCCACAACGGAGCACAGCTCACAGCTTCAGACAACATTAGGCCAAGCTTTATGTACAGCATTTAAAGCGAAGGCAAAATTAAACACATCTATATGTCTGCTGTAATGTGCGCGTGAGCATCCCAATCCATCCATCTCGGCGTTTGTATATGTTAATGTCCACGGCCGTGCATGATCGCGTGTGTGTGTGTATTTGTGTGAGGGCGTGTGCGAAGCTAAGTTATAACCGTATCTCTGCGTTGATATAATCTTTATTCATTACGGCTATAAAGTCGGGCAAAGAAAAATACCACTGCTAGATCGGGGCATCTGTTTCTGTGAATACGGTATGTTTAACAGCTTACTTTGATGATACTCCCTGAGCAGATAATACGAAGATAATCCCCAATATATGATTTCATATTTTAGCATATTTCATAAATCTTATTATAGAGGATTAGTCTAAGATATTGCCATATGGCACAGCAGTCTTATCTCCATCCCCTCCAAAAACAACTTATTAAAATAATTGTAAAGGTTCCCTCTGTAGACTTCATATTTAATGTTTGCTAAATGCGAGAAATGCGTTATGCTTATCACTGACAAAATCATGAGTCTTGCGCGTGCTTGTTTATTTTGTAAACGTTTCATGAAATTCGAATTTGCATTTAGGACAGAGTACACACACACACATATTTATAATTTTGAATTCTGTTGCTGCAGGATAAAATTGAGCGGAGAAAAATGGGCAACGTCAAAATGTGTTTTTGTCTCTCAAAAACACAGCCAAGTGTGGAAGTGTACGTGGAAATCACTTGAATTGTAAGTGTACCCCGGGCATACTATGCAATGTTGCAGTTGCTCTCAATGATTATACTGATGACACTGAAGGCTGGTTATTATGTTTGACAGGATAGCACTCTGTGGAATATGACTGTCTGCTCGATCCGACACACATTTTTAAGGAGAACATATTTTAATTTTAACGCATTTCTTCGCAGCGGTTACTTGATCCTTTCGCGACAAACGACGATGAGGACGACTTTTATTATTATGACGTGTTCTCACCGTCAAAAAGAAAAATAGCGGCTGAGTTAAAACACATGTGTGTGTGTCCACACACACACACACACGCGTGTGTGTGTGTGTGTGTGGACACGCGCACGCGCGCGAGCACTCACGCGCATTGCTACAGGGACAGGCGCCATCTTAACGTCACAGCGCAACGTGCTTTCTGCACTTCTCATGGAAGTGCCTCACAAAAATAGTTGTGTAATGAGGTCTGAATGATTGTGCTGAAACTTGTTTCTCTTACATGCTGACCCTGCGACCTCCATAGAGCACAAATATTTGAAACCTAAATGAAGTTGCTGGCTGACTGGCTATTTGCCCTCCGATTGCCTTGCGTGAAGCGAGTGTCGGCCCCCTTTGCTAATTTCAAACAGACAAAAGGACCTTCGCGATCCGTGCTGACGGATTTTTCAATATCGTCACCCATTCTGGGAAATGACGGACAAAGTGTTTTTTTGGGTTTCGGGAAAATACCACTAAACAAGGGAAAATACAACGCGCACACCTGGACAATATGGTCCCCAGACGGATTTTTCCATCTCTCTATTTGAAGGTCAATAACAAGCCTTTTTGAGAGTGGCCTACTTCTATTGCATGATGTGCTAACATCTTTCTGCCTCAATATCAGAAAGGAATTTCGCACTTATAGGCCGGGTGGGTTGATGATTGGTGCAGCTGCTCAGAATTGACCTCCTGACTCCATTTTTAAAGCATGCAGTAACACCATCAGCTTTCAATTGAGATTTGTTTAGATTCATATAGTTTAAAAGATTCCGCTGTCTTTGGATCGTGAGCGTGTTAGGAAAGAAAAGAGCCTTGTTTGATAAAAAAAACACCCCCATGTTTTTTGCCCATAGCAAAGATCCGTAAAACAACAATAATCGCGTAATAAAAAGCGCACAATTTGAAGGGCATATTTTCGGGTGTCAAATTCAACGCGAAAGCATCGGTGGGTGATTCAACACCATGAAGCGGAAATGTTAAAGCGACCCGTTAAAAAAATAGCTGTAATTACAAAAGCGCGCGCGTATTCATAAATAAACATTTAATCAAACAGACGTAACTAAGGCACTCAAAATGCAGGCAATTACTGAGCGGCGTTTGGTACCGGTGCACCGGCGAGCGCTTCTATTGTCCGGAGCACATGTGTGTCTGGCGAGCGCTGTCAGTCTTCTGACACCCATCCCATGTCCCCTGTCGCCGGCGCCCGACAGCGAGTAAATCCTCCCATCACCCCAGCGGCATCTTCCCTCGCACTCTTCACGCCGGCAGGGGCGGCGGGCGACCCCAGGAGACCCGCCAAACTCAATAACTGACCAGCGGCGGGTAATCGCTCCGCGGCAAGAATAACCAAACACAGAGAGAAGGCGCGCGCAAACTTTTAATTTTATTTATTTATTTGGTTTGTTTTTGTTTTTGCTGCCCCACTTTTTTTTTGGGGGGGGGGAGGAGGGGGGGGGGGAGCGGTTCCTGCAGTCGTTTGACCGAAGCCGTTTTGGTGCACTGTGGGTAAAAATAATGAAAGGAAATTCAAGTAACGGGATATTGTAAATTACACCGCAGAAATCTTACGCGGCTTTTCTGATGAACTAACGGCACAGCGAATCATCGTTCTTCCTGCCGCTCGTTATGTAAATCGGTTCTGACACAGCGCGCCATGCTTAATGTCCTTTTGCCAAAAAAAAAAAGCAGTTTTTCCCCCCCTGCTCAAGCAGAGCCGATGTTTTTGCAATAGTGGGAGCGCAGGTCCCTGAAAGAGCAGTTAAACTACAACATTGCCCGACTTGTATATTTTCTTTAGCAGTTAGCTGAAACGCAGCTCGAAGTCCTCCCCCTAGTCCATGCGGCGAGGTACTGCGAGGCCCAAGCCTCGACAGCTGTGAGCCCACGCAGTGGCCGTGCTACGTGGCGCAAGACTTTGCAGCAGGTGCTGGAAATTCGGCGAATACTCGCACCACTCCTCAACCTGATGTTGGAATGATGCGAGGGGGAGTCCCCGTGTCCCCAGCTCAATTACGACCCAGGTTTGCGTAATACGCGCAGAGGCCCTTTGCAACACCAGGTTCTCATTATAGAGGAATGTGAGATGGCTATGATGTCTCACTTCTCCCGATGTCAGTTTTCAGCAGGACCTGTGAAATGTGCAAAAGTGTCCGTTTCTTACAACATGTAAAAAAAAATTCTGTTTCACAAAGGGTTATGTTCGGGACTCTGGTTGTTTTTGCAGATCCTCAGCCTAAACATCTTGTGTATTTTATTTGTAATTTCAGACGCAAGTAACAATATACACGTTTAATAATTTTGTTGCATGCATTTACATTGGGCCCACTCTTCAACTGATGGTTATGAAAGGTCAAACAAAAAGTGTTTTCCAATCGGTCACAGCTGATGATTGTGGTCCAAAGTTCATGCACCGAGATTCACCACACTCTCAATCCAGGTGATGTTCTCATGCTGGATTTGTGTGAATGTGTTGCTTAAATTATTCGCACATTTGATAGAATCGGTGTAAATATCTACTGGGCTGCATTGCTCCTACAGGAGAGCTCTTCTCCATGGTGATGTGATGGGACCAATATTGCGGATCACGTCGTCTGCGGGGTTATCCGCGATTTTACTCCGCTTATGCAGAGGAAAAAAAACACCGTCGATACTTGTGGACATCATGTGTAAGAAGAGGGCCGGGGATAGTCTGAAGTTTTGTGGACCCCGCGGCACTCATGGATCGGAGGAGTTGCGGGTAATAGGGTAACGGTTAAGATGATTTATTTTACAAATTGCCAGCCCTGATTGAAATAAGTATTTTTTTTTAAATGAAATATGGAATGATATGTAGAAACTTCATGCAAAACAAAGATTACGGTCGACGGAAAAACCAACGTTTAACAAGTTAACTTTTCATTACCTTGGGTGTTCAGTTCACATTGCACGCTATTTTAAATATTTGAAAGAGTTAAACCAATACAGATGTGTTTTATGGCAAATACAGTTACAAGATTGTTGTACGGTGAAATGTTAGCATTGATGAAGGAAAACAAACATGCCAAAATACTGCCATTCAATGTAGCTGTTAAAGAACTACGGGTGTCCAATGCCTCTGTGTAGACGAGGTTATGATTTCACTAAGAGCTCGCCGGATTTGGACGCACAAAAAAAACGCAACCTGCATTTCCCCTAAAAGGCACCAATGGAATAATTTTCCTTTATTCATGAGGGCAATAACTTGAAAAACGAATTTGAAAGCATTTTTTCCCCATTTCCGTATAGGCGCGTACTACATTTGCTCTATCAGCTAAACATCAAATCCAAACCTTTCATCAACAAAGCCGCAATCTATTGAGTACATGGGAACGTAATTGAATCCTTTTCTTTTTCAGAATAGGGAGATTGGTTGCGGGCTCTGGAGATTAGATATTTAGTTTACAGTGACCGCGACGTGATTGAGTCTTATATTGTCACTCTGATTACCATAGAACGCAGCAATCATAAGAATATTCACACCGTGTGCTTAGCCTTTCATGCCGGTCACATGAATTGCCCGCGCCTCCAGAGTCGTTGAAGGACTTGAGCTGTTTTTTTGGCAAAATAACTTAACTCGGTATCTAATGTAGTTGTTACTCTCTCCCATCACGGCATAATATGCTATGGGATGCATTGTCTATAATACATTTCTCTCTCGCTCTCTGTGAGCACTGTTTTACGCTTGGTAGAAAACAACTACAAAATATACACAAAGGCATTCAATTTGTCGCTGCACTTTTTACAGTGAGTCGACGTTGACCTTTTTCAAGCAGTCAAAACATGAATATACCTCAAAACCAGCTCTAAATAAATTAGATTATTTCGCAGCCTTTTTTTGTCAGTCCACTGCTGGATGAAGGCCTCATTATCCCTTGTCATTCGTCGGGGGGTTTTGGCCAAACTTCACCGTACTGATCAGTGTGGGCTGGTTTCGGGATTGCCGTGTCCAAGATCGGTTTCAGTTTTCACTCTCCAATGATGTTAGCATTGTCCAGGAATTGAACCCAGGTGGCAGTTGTTAGTGCCACTGTGCTACATGGCTCACAGGGCTATACCTAATAAATGAAAACTGAAACACCACTGCACAAGCACTCTACCCTTTTAACATATGTTACATATATAAATGTTTTTTTTAAAATATATTGTTATGAAACTTAAGTCATAGAAGATATCTCAATAGATTAAATTATTTTACTTTCATGATATAACAGTTCTAAAGTTCATCAACCTAAAAGTCTAATCTTAAAGTCATTCATAGCCCTTTGGCCAGTTCACTGCTAGATTAAGTTCACTGCCCTATCGGGCATGGGGTTGTGTCCATACTCCACTATTCTGGTTAGTGTAGCTTGGTAGAAAAGATGCTCGGGACCGGTTCAGGTATCGCATTGACTGATAGTATCCCTGGCCGGGAATCGAACTCAAGCGACAAGGGACAACCACTGTGTCACACCTCCACCCTTTAAAATACATTTATATTAAATTCAAGTTCATGTTTTTGTTCTTTAAGTTATACAATTACGTGTTTTTTCAGGTATAGTTGTTCAAACCTTCATCAACCTCAAAACCTACTCCTCTAAATGAACCACAAATGTTATTATCGCACGTACAATTGCGTGACAAATATAGTAACCGAGGGCTTTGACACTAAAATAAAAGATCACCAATTTACATAAAACCACGAACGGAACACGTCCGAAAAGTAATGTCACGTCTCTTAGAAATAACCTGACAAGTTGTTCACACAGCTCCACACACACATATATAATATTGTAATAAAATTGCAAGACTCCAAAAAGGGCAAGGGTTGGCAAGGGATGCAGCAGCCACTGCCCGCCGCCGCCGTTGTTTTAATCGAGCTGACTCTGTCCATGTGAATGTCAGTGCCATGGTAACCCACCGCTCAAGAAAGCATTTCTAAATTGAATTTGTTGCAGTGTAATGTGCTAAAAAAAAAGCGCTTCAGATCAATCGTGATTCATGCAGTAGTGCTTTTCACTGGCCTGTGAGAGGAGGAGCTGGCAAACTTTCCCACAGACCGAGGCGGCAGGGCACACATGAGTTATGAGGGATGGTTGAATGGAGTTGAGCTGCTTATAAGGCCTGAACGGAGCTAAAGAGATATAATGCCAATATCAATGTGTGCGCGCGTTTGTTTGTCAGAGCATTCATATTCACTTTTGCATGGATGCTGTTGTGCACGGTCCGTGACTGTATGATATTATTGCCCCAGGGAGTAGGGGGGGGGGTGTCCCTTTGTCTCCGGAGAATCAGCGGGGTTGACGGAGTGTTTGTTTTTGACGGGAGAGAGTCTCGGAGCCATTGTGGTTTTGTATTTTCTGAAATGTGTGCATGGTTGCATTTTACAAAACTTTTAACAACATTGCATTCAATAGTCATGCACTTTATACATGCGCGTATTATAATATTGTTCGAAAGGGAGTTGGGAAGTGGTGTGACGTTGCATACAAACCTTTTTGTGATGAGCAATGGAAATGTTCAGATATCAAAGTTACATTCTTATGAATTGACTTATATAAACTTATATAAACTTAATAAACATAGATGTTTACTCGTTACCTATTGTGTGATGTCCTGTTATTTAGTAATGTGGATTCCAACAACTTTGTAACTTTCATTCATAATGTAGATTTTAAAAAACACACAATGAGACAGTCTTTTTGTGTATGACAGTGCATATTAATACTCGCCATCCCTACCAGTTTAAGTGGTAGGCTGCTGAATGTTTAGCCCCTTCAGGACATACCGATTTTCAAAGTAACAATGACATAAAATGTGTTTTCTCAATTTTTTAAAATGAATATAAAGCAGTGCAATTGCTGGTAAATTGTATAAAAATCGGCTGCTTACCACATAAATTAGTTGCAATGGCGAGTGTGTGTTCGTGTGTGCGTGCGCGTCAATGTGTCTTTAGTGTCCATGTGAACAACACAGCCATACATTATCAGGCTCGTGAATGTGTACGTTAATACTTTATTCATACACGGGCAAGGGGCATAATACATTACTTAGTCACTAACGGCCGTGTATGAGTAACCACAGCGAAAGTGCAGGTGTAAGGGTCTTGAATGGCCTGTGTTATGAAATGTCAGTACTTATCGTAAGCGGAAGGTAAAGGAATGTCCTAATCCCTGTGAGAATCCCTGATGGGCATTATGTAAAGTTGAATGTAAAATCTGCTTTTATAAATAACACAGTATATTAGTACACATAATAGGATTAGATATGGTTACACACAAGAAATAAAAGGGTTTTTTTGTTCCAAAAGGCATTTTCTCAAGGGCTTTAACATTTGCGGAAAACATATCCAGCCAATTTGTGAAGTCACCGCATTGTTCGGCTTAATATATGAGAATAAATGAAACGGGACGGATAGGGCAGTTACTTATCCCGACTATTAATTAAAATAACTGTTTTCATCTTGCATGTCAATGCTCACGAGCTGCCTGGGGAAAGAGACAAAAAAAATCCCCCCGCAATACTAAACGATTCTGAATCTGCCATTTGTGCATCCTTGCCCACACGCCCCTCCTTGTGAAGTGTCACACCTCGGGCCCCAACCGACGGGCCTCAAGAACGGTGGGACTTCAACCGCCTCTCTCAAGAGGATGTGGCAATTGAAAAAGTAATTATCCAGCTTTGCAATAAGACCAACCCGAAATTCAGTCAGCCTCTGCACAGACGGACGGCCGAAGAAATGTAAAGTTTAGCGATGCAGAAAGCGAAAAAAAGCATGCACCGTCAATCAGCAGCATAACAATGACTCAGACATAATTAACTGAATTGCTTATTCAACTCAGTCAACGCTATACGAGGCTATTTTTTGAACACAGATTAAATAATGCAGAACATTGTAACATAAAAGTGGGCCGTCTGAGTCTGCATGCAGATGAGATCAACTCGGTTGTAAAACAGATGGACCTTTGTGTCTTCAGGAGGTGAAATATTTAACAAAATCGTAGTGAGTCTTAAATCTGCATTCATATTGTTTTGGTCCCGAATGAGAAGGGTCGTCTAAACCGGCACCACATTCTAACCCCAAAGTCTACAATTCGCTGAACTCGCTGTCTATGTAGAGGATCCATCGTGAGAAGGAACGTAAAAATGTTCCGCTATTTATTCATCAATATATTGCCACGTGTAAGAAGAGTTTTAAAATCGTACTCTTCGCAATAAAAAAAACCAAAGTATCAGTTTCCTTTTATTTGAATACAGGGTGTGGAAATGTTTCTACACGTTGTCATTCCACTTAATTTTGTTTTCTTGAATGTCAAAAAAACACGTTGATTATCCTCTCACCCCAACATCGGTATTAATGCCGCAAAAGAGGAAATGCCATTTATAGTGATGCAGCTGAATAAATTAAGCGCATGTCTGAAGAGGCGTGCAGGCTGGAAGGATGTCTGAGTCGTGTTTTTTTTAGCATTGTTTATTTTGTCTGCCTTCCTTTCCCGATGTCTTGGGCAGGCCGGGAATGCGACTTGTAAAAACACACAGCAAGTGTTATGGCCAGCACACCTTTGTTTGGCCACATTGCTGATGAGGAATGAGTGCAAAGGCTCTCACTTAATGTTACCATATGGGCTCGCACTCGGCCTAATGGCATTTGCCGAGCGGCCTGAAAGATTAATTATTAATCATGAACACGTGACATGCTGCCTTTTCTAGCATCTCAGAAACTGGAGTTGGTGGATCATTGATTGATGGGAATATTGTGCTGAGCTGAACGCTGAACCTCGTCTTCTCAACCGAACAAGTTGGTCTATGAATGTTAATATTTACGTTTATTAATGTATGTGCTTTGAACCCAGTGACCTCAGTTTGATTCTCATTCTCGGCTAACATAAGCGACGAGTGATATCTGAACCGGTACTGGGGTCTCTCCAGCCCTTCACCAACCAGCATGGACCAACATGGTGGAAGTATGACCAACAAACCGAATGACCAGCACAGTGTGTGTGGGCAGGCATTCATTTTTCAGTCGACCGACTAAGTGCAGAATATATTCTATCATCATCATCCATCAGCCATGGTCACTCTGCTGCTGGACGAAGGCCTCCCCGACGTGCCCCACTGTTAGTATTACTATTAAATTACAGCTCTCTTCTTTTGTCGAAAACAAAGCAACCATTCAACTGAGAGAACCAATCGGCTGCCTGGCTGGGCAATGTCGCCTCCCTGGGAAACCTTTTCCCGCTTATTCATAACACGAACCGGTGCCAGCGGGTTTGCCTCACGTGCGCTATCTGAGGGTCAGGGGCGGCGGCGGCGGCGGGGGGGTTTAAGAGTGAACTCGGTCAAATTCCCCTGCAGCGGTCGGTCTCTCCCCGCCTTGCGGGATCGTCCACGCCTTGAAGCCAGGGCGTGGGGGACAGCGCCTCGCTGAGCTGTCTGTGCTGACGTGCCGGGGAATTGCTCCCACGAAATTGAAAGTGGCCCTGAGTGCATGCAAGACATTTAAGTGCGCTCACTACGGTGTGAATGTATCTCTCTATAAAGGCAATTGCTTGCTCAAGCCTAGCGGCAGGGCCCTGCACTGGAGCGAGCCAGAAAGAACCCCTCTGGACACGTATTTGGCTTCCTCTTTCACACTAGCAAAGACATTTTAGAAGAGGTGGGGGTACCTCCACTTTACCCCAGCACACGCGACCCTGCCGATTGACCAACTTTGACGTACTTACCCGTGAGTAAAGTAAATTGTAATACTTCGTAAAAACGCAACGCTTTATTTTTTTATCGCAGAAAAAAATCCGCCTGCTGTTTTCACGCATCATATTGAGATGCGGTTGCATTTTAGACGGCACACAAGTCCAACATTGTATTGTTGGACTGTGGACAATTTACCCGGTATGTTTTTTTTTAACATTCTTACTGCGGGACGGGCTTGGAAAACAAGCGGCAAATTCTCACACGTCACATCAGCAGTTGTCAGCGTGGAGAGCCATGCACAGTAAGAGGTGTTCTTTGTGCCCACGCGAGCAAGGGTTCTGTCACCTTTACATGCTTCTGGAACTGTGACTCTTTGGCCTCCCAGCACGGGGCCTGTGCACCCTCTACAAACTCGACATCCGTTCTGTCACTGGAAGGAAATCTGAGCCGAGATGGCTGAATAATCCCAGCGCAGTGGTCACGGGAAAGTCCTGACTACCCCCCACCCTCCCCCCAACAGTGACTGCTGCATAGCTCTCTGCAAGTTGCTCTGTTGTTCTGCATGTTAGAGATGCTTTGCTATTTCCCAGTAAGGGCTTGCCAGTTTGCGCAATGATGCCATGAACCCGACGACCCCGTGTTTGATTCCCGGGCCAGAGCTAACGTCCGTGGCCCGGCGATGTCTGGGCCCACACTCCTGCTTCACCAACTGCGCGCAGACCGACATCACGTTGGGGAGGCCTTTATCCAGCAGTGGATTGTCAAGAGCTGAACATTTTCTCGCAACCTATAAAACCGTTCGTACCATATCGGAGTACCATACACCAACCCTGTGACAGTGTGTGTGTGTGTGTTTTATTTTATTTGCCTAATCTTGCAAACTGGCCTTTGCCCCTTTCATCTTAACCAAACACCACCTGGTCATATAAAATGTGAGGGCAGCGGTGACAGGTAGTTCAGCGCACTACACTCTAAACCTGACGACCTGAATTCGATTCCCAGCCACGGCTAACATCAGTGGCAGACGACATCTGAAGGTGCCATGGGCCTGCCCGTGCCAGCATGGGTTAAATAATCCCCATCACCCATACGGTGTGGGGAGGCTCTTATCCAGCAGTGGTTATACAAAAGTTTGTGAATTATTACCATTATTTATAAAACGAGAGCTGATTCACAAAGTGAAAAAAAAAACCCCCACGAGGTTTAAGTGAGAGCTCGTCTCGGCCGTTACGTACAATATGATTCTTACCAGTAGGATCTGGGAAATGAAAAAAAAGATTGAAAAAAAGGCGTGCACAAGATATCATATTTGTCAACGCGGCGTGACATAAAGCAACATTTGGGCTAAAATTGCAAGAGTAACCTCGATCGCAGCTTGATCTGCGGATTAGAGCTTGCACAGCGTTGGCCGCTTGAGGGTCCCGGCACAGAGTTTGGCAGGAGGCCAAAATCACGGTTGACGTCACAGGAGCCCAGCTTCGGCGACAGCTCTGCCCCCATTTATGTCGAAGCATGACCGAACTTACCCCCCGCGGCAATTTGCTTGACGGAAAGAAAGTCAACGGCGAGGTGACATTATTTGACGTGCGTCTCATAACCGGGTTGTACCCAAAATTCCCCGCTTAAGTCCCCGGCTTTACCCCGGGGTGCACGGAGTGCGCATAACGCATTTTCCCACTGCGCTCTACCTCTGCTTGCGAAGGCAAACAGCCGAGCCTCTGCACAAGCAGCAGGTTACACGCACTCCCATTGGTCAGAGCATGACCCCGCACGTCCTAACCAGGGGGCTGTGCGCACACCGCTTATCGAACATCGTGCCGCTCGCTCGACTCCTAACGTCGCTGGCCGTTGCACCGTTGTACGAGATGAGATCCGTGGATAGGTTGCGTGCGAAACTTGAGCTCAGAGT